GGACAGCTGATGCAGTCAAGTTCTCTCAGTAATACTCGTGACGTAGTCTCATTAGGGTGCCTGAAGAAATAAGCCCCCCCCCAAAAAAAAAAAAAGCAAGCAAGAAATCCCCATGGAAACAGTGACTTCCGAGGGGATCTATTGCGCCAATTCCCTTTAAGGCAGCGGGGTCAGCGCAGGTGGTTCTGGGGAGTGCTGTTTGGGATTCCTAAGGGTAGTTTTGGTTTTGTTTTTTCGATTGACAGCTGCATCGGTGAGAAAAAGGCCAGGAATGTGAGGCCAAGGAAGGTTTTCCTTCACGACCATGCACCTGCTCAGGCTGAGAGAGTAGCTCGGGCCGCCCTACGAGGATGGGGCGGGAAGTTTTACCCAAGCCACCCTACAGCCCTGGTCTTCTTCCCTCAGACTTCTGTTGGGTCCCCAAACTCAAAGAACATTTCAAAGGAACATGATTTGAGTCCCTTGAAGATGCTGGAACGGCCACTTTGGTGCGTACGATTCTGCAGGGAAGAGTTAGAGGGATGGAAGGACCCCGTGTGAAGTACTTGACGGTGATGTAGAGAAACGATCGCTTCACATTGCCATATCTTTGTGTAGGAAGGTTTCTATGACGGTGTCGCAGTATTTCCTTGACTTAGCCCTGCAGGTGAACACACCGCATCCGTTTATCTGTTGCATTACCTGTGGGCACTTGGGAAGCTTCTCCTTGAGGCCTATTGAAGATTTTTGCTGTGAACCCCCGAGTGCTGGCCTCTGGGGCACGTCTGTCTGCCTCTCTGTGTGTGTATGCCCTTTGGCCTACCCCTCAGAGGGAATGTGATTCTGAACTTCAGTAGATACGACCCAAGGGAGTTCCACAATGAGCAAACAGTGTCCTTGCTGATCAGCCGTGGCTGGAGGCTCTGGTTGTGTCACTTCCTGGCTAACCCCTGATGCGCCCTGTCTTCTTCATTTCCGCCATTCTGGTGGGTCTCAGAGCGCCTGGACGATGTCGTGGCCACCCACTGGGCTGCGATCCTCAACTCGACTCAACGTCAGTGAGTTTGGTTTGGGTTTTTGGTGGTATCACACTGATTTTCCATTTCGTGTTTTCCGGAAGATTAACAAAGGGGAGCCACTTTTCCTAGGTTTATTGGCCATTTGGATGCTTCTCTATGAAACCTGTTTCAGCATTTTGCTCATTTTTCTCTGAGGTTTTCGTATAGGTGTGTAGGAGTTCTTCGTGGAGCCTGGATGCGAGTCTCTGGTCAGATCCAAGTAATGCAATTTTCTCCCCCTCCTGCTTTGTGGTTTACCTGACATACATTTTAATAACAGAAGCTGTGGCAACAGTCTCCATGTGCAACTGGAGGGGACCGAGCCAGTCACATATCCTATGACGATGGTGTGTGCGCCAACACTGAACTGGCAGATGCTGTGTTGTTTACATGTGCATCAATGTACACACACACACACACACACACACACACACATTTAGCAATCATCTTTTAAAGTGATATGCACTCATAGAACAGTCCCTAAGACATAGTAAAGGAAAACTAGAAGGTGCTCCATTGGTACCTGTTTTAAAAATACCAACTACCGAGAGACCGCAGAACAGACGGAGAGGCACAGTCGCTTCCAGAGGTGGGGCTGCCTGCTTGGGAAGACCAGCTGACCTCTCTCCGTGACCCCTTCATGCTCCTTGCAGTTTTACTCCGCCCTTGGTAGCTAAAGAGCCCAGGTGGGGCGATAGGAAGCACTTGCCTGCTACCTGAAAGGCTGGCAGGTGAGCCCACCTTGCGGCTGGCTCCTCAGCGGAAAGACCTGGCGGTCTGTGGGCCTGCCTGCCCTGTCACTCGCACTCCCTCCGCGTCCAAGGTTTGCTTTCCTCCTTTCTTTAACATGAAAAAAACCAAACGTGTCCATTTGATGTTAGTAAACCGGCATACCCATTTATTTATTTATTTGTTTGTTTGTTTGTTTGTTTATTTATCTCGACACTCTCCCCCTCGCAGCTTCTTGGATGAGACCACCTATGAGCGACTGGCTGAGGAAACGCTGGACTCCTTAGCAGAGTTTTTTGAAGACCTTGCAGACAAGCCCTACACCTTTGAGGACTATGACGTCTCGTTTGGGGTACCTCTTGGCTTATTTTACCTTTTCTTCCCCCTCCACAAGCCTTTTAGCTCATTAAAATAACCGTTTTAAAAGGTGTCCTGGTGGCACCGCGGACTGAGCGTTGGGCTGCTGACAGAGGTCCGTGGTGGGAACCCACCAGTCACCCCCGGGAGCAAGACGAGGCACTCGGCTTCCATAAAGACAGCAGCCTCAGAAGCCCCGGGAGCAGTTCTCCTCGCCCTGTAGGATAAGGTCACAATCAATTGGGATCGACCGCAGGGGTTTTGGCTTTTTGTTTGTCTGTCTTAGTTTTTGACAAAATAAAAGAATTCCCCTCCAGCTGAGCTAAGAAGCATGGGATTATGGGATCAAATTCCAGCTGACCAGGTTTGTGACCTTCCACTTCTTTGAACCTTATCTCTGGTTAAAAATATCGATTCTCAAGCTTCACCAAGGGAGTCCTGGTGGTGGAGTTCGTTACAGGTTAGACTGCTAATCACAAGGTCAGTAGTTTGAGTCTACCAGCTGGTTTGAGGGGAAAAGATGAGGGTATTTACTCCTGCAAAGAGTTAGTGTCTTGGAAACTCACGGCAGTCAGCGGGTGAAGCTTCATCAATATGAACGTGAGCCAGACGGAGACTTGGGCGTCAGTTTGTTTAACAAAATGCCTCTCCTCAGACAAGTAGCGGGAACGGGGGACCAGACTGCCCGTTCGGGGAGCCCCCCCCCCCCCAAATAAACCCACTGCCGTCAAGTAGATTCTGATTCACATTTTCCTCGTATGGGGTTTCTGAAGCTGTACATCTTTACAGGAGCAGACAACCTCGTCTTTCTCCTGAGGAGCATTTGGTGGGTTTGAACTGCTGAGCCTGCGGTTGGCAGCCCGGCACCTAACCCTGAGCACCACCACCGCCTCTCGGTTCTGAGCTGGAGTCCGTTAACACTGGGTAGCCACTCAGCTCACAGACCCGGCTCCATGTGGGGTTGAAGGGTGGGGCAGGTCACAGGAAGCTCATTCTTGACAGGCTCCCCTGGATTTGAAGGGGCATTGCTGGTTCCACCTGCACGTGGTTTCATTGCGTTGTCCTGGGCTGTGCACCTGAGGTGAGAACAGGGGAGAAAACCGGCCCTGTGGGGCTCCTGGACGCCACGGGAATGCTAGTTTTTGTTTTGTTTTATTTTTCCCTTGGTATCGGCTCCTCTTCCACCCCCCCCCCCTCACCGTCCCACCTCCGTGAATCCTTGATCAATTATATATTATTGTTGTTATTTCGTGTCTTACACTGTTGTCTCCCTTCACCCACATTTCTGTTATTTGTCCCCCTGGGGGCTGGGATATATATATATCCTACCTTGTGATGGGTTCCCCCTTTCTCCGCCCCCTGTCCTGCCCGCTGGGTGTTTTTGCCCCGTTTGTTTTTTCCTTCAAAATAAGATATGTGCAGTGTGCATAGGAATTTGTTCATCGTTTTTTTAAAAGTATAGTTCGGCCCTCCAACGGGTCTGAGGGACAGTGAACTGGCCCCCTGTTTAAAAAGTTTGAGGACCCCTTTATCGGTCCTGAATTCGTTTTTATCCACTGACCACCAGGTGGCAGGCACGAGGTAGCAAGTGCTCATCTTTGGATAGGCTTTAGAGCAGCGGTTCTCAACCTTCCTAATGCGGAGACCCTTTCATACAGTTCCTCATGTGGTGGTGACCCCCAGACTGTACAATTATTTTCGTTGCTACTTCACAACTGTAATTTTGCTACTGTTATGAATCAGGCGACCCCTGTGAAAGGGTCGTTCGACCCCCCAGGTGGAGAACGCTGCTTTAGAACAACCTTTTTGCCAGTGGAAGCAAATCACTTGCAGAAGTTAATCCTCTTGACAGCAATTAATTCATACTAGGAAATGGCATCGAGTGAGGAAGACCATAATTCAACCTATGTCGAATTCTGACTTATTCCCGCTCTTTAAGCAAACGTGCTTTTGTGTTTTACACAAATTAGGCCAAAAACATCATCCATGGAGAATGCTCAAGTCCCATCCCCCAAAGGGACACTGCCATCGAGTCAGTTCCAACTCGTGGCCACCTTGTAGGGCAGGAGAGCACTGCCCCTGGGGGTTTCCAAGGTTGGAAATCTTTACGGGGGAAGAAAGCCCCATCATTCTTCCTCTTAGCAACTGGTGGGTTCGAACCGCTGATCTCGAGTTGAGTCCAGTGCATAACCCACTACGCTACCAAGCAGCCACTTTCACATTTACAGTTTCAGTTCTTCTGTTAACTCAATACATTAAACTAATCTCACTTATGTTGTATCATGCCCCCCAGAAACCCCAAGCCCACTTCACCAAGTCCACCCAGACTGGTAAAGACGCTACATGAGGCTTCTCGGGCTGTCAGTCTGCAGGAGTGGCCGGCCTTACTTTTCTCCCTCTGAGTGAGAGGTGGATTTGCACCACCAACTTTACAGTTAGCAGCCTAGGGCCTAGTCCACAGTGCCCCCTGGACTTATTTTTTTTCCATCATAAGCACCATATAGTCATCATTCAGCTACACAAATGATTAAATTAGTTGTGTGTGTGGGGGGGCAGAGCTTTAAAGGCGCCTCTGCAGACATCCAGAGGCAGAGAACTTGAGAACAGCTACAATTGACCTGCCAACGTGACCATCCTGTGGTGCTTAAAGGTCAAGACGTCATCAGTCTCCTCTTCTTACCCCAAAAGCCAGAAACGCAAACTCTCTGCCACCGAGTCGATTCCGTCCTTTGGAATGCTGACTCTCCACCTGGCATACATGTTCTATGCATAAAAAGAAGCACCTGGGAGCACTTCATAGCCGCAAGGCCAGGTTGTGTTGGCTGGGCTTTGTCCAAGAGCAGTTTCCCAGTAATCCAGGTACACCTTGGGTCTATTTGTTCCTCTTTCCCTTCCCGGGCGGGTGGGAGGTTGGAGCAGCGTTTTTACCTGTGCTGTCATCCAGTCTGTTGCCTGTAGGTGCGCCGAAGGCTGTTGAGCCTCATGACAGCCATGGGCACAACACAACGAAGCGCTGCCCAGCCTGGCACCGGCCTCCTGTTTGTTTGAACGCCGTGGTACAGCTGCTGTGTTCCCTTCCCTGCCTTCCTCTTCCCCCCGCGCCTCTGCTTTCCCAGAAGCTGGTCCCTCCTGATAAACTGTCTGGAGCACGGGAGCCGGAGTCTCACCATCCTCGTCCCTAGGGCGC